TTGTATTTGTTATAACAGAATGGCTGCCCAAGCGTCAATGTGGTTTATCAATATTAGCGATTGAATGAGTTGTTTGAACAACCGTAACTGCAGCCGTGCCATTTAACTGTCGTTTCAGTCTTCAACCATAAATCGTGGTATTACGAAGTATAGAAAGTGATATTAAACGAAACAACTAACTATCAAGCAATCAAATCACGAGTGTCGCTTGCAATTAGTATCTGTTAATTGTTCTCTTATTTTTGTTTGTTTTCACTCGCGGTCGATTAAACAGATAATCATACAAGAAAAAAAAAAAGATACATTTGATCGATTCTGTTCTAATCTAATAATGCGATCACTTATTGGCGATCGTATCCCTGAGTAAAAATAACAAACGTGGTTTATTATTCTTATATTCCAATTAATTCGCTTTAATAAGCAAAATACAAAGCTAAAAGAGAAACACGTTTTTTAAAAATTTTCTTATTGTTTTAACTTTATTGTTGTAACTTTATAACCTACAAAAAAAGAAAACAGAAAATGGACAAGTTGTGAATTTTTCAAACCCTTCAGTTTTTCAGTGGAACAAAGAAACATAAAATATAAAGTGCCGTAATTTATATTGATAAAAGTAAATATAACAAAAAGTAAATTGTGATAACAAAATTTATCTGAGAAACAAGTGATTTAACATTTATATTTTTCTAAAAATAAAGACATGTCGATAGCAAATTACAAGGCACAATACATTTAAATTATCAAGTTATTCATGTTATTACACGTCAATGTGTCTTTCAATTTGTTGACGAATCCTTTTTTTTTTTTTAAATGCTTAAATTATTCCTGATAGATGAAATTTTATATATCTTTTATTTTTATAAATAAAAAATTTCATTTATATATATTTTAATGAAATTGAAAAGTAACGAAAGCAGCGTATATAGCAATGAAATATAAAATATATATGGACAGTGAATATAAGACACCCTGTATGAATCGAAGAGGGCGCCAAGGGAGGGGCCCTCCTTTGTGAAACGGGCTCTGACCTCAACGGATCGTCGGGCCCGAGGTAGGCGCCTCCGACTGTGAACGAAGTGAAGCTGTTGCTTGTTGGTTTGCTTGTCTGTCTGGCCTCGTTGCCAAGCAACCGTAAAAGCGTCACCCTCCAAATCTCTAAAATTCCTTACACCGAATCCTTCTACAGAAACACTGTCCACGGCTGCGAGATCACGATCACGTTTCCCACGTGAGAAAGCGGTCCGGTTTAAAAATACACGCGAAAGGCCAATGATTTTAGACCCCGCCGTTGTAAAATTAGAAAAGTACACGCGCATATTTATAGAATATCATTTCGGTAACGTATATAAAATCGACCGTTGAAACACGTTACTATTTACGGTTTCTTTGTTTCGTACGAGGAAATGTCTTAATCTAACTTTCACTTTTTTTCTTTCATGTATAAGCGGTTAAAATAAAATTGGGAATTTAATTTGATCCTACGTTGCGAAATGTCATTTAAATTTCTATTGGTGTTTGTAAAAGTAATTTGAAAAGTTTCTGAAACTTTTTGTTTACAATCAAGTCTCCAATATATTATCGAATACATCGTAATGTGTCTTCAAACTATATACATTCCGTATCTATTTTTGTCTTTTTTCTTTCTACTTTGAATGGATACACTCAGGCTTGTGCAACGTATGTGTGCTATTAAAATATTTTTCGTGGGGCGTCAACTTACCGACAGAGCGATTCTGCCACCATATTTGAAATTTGTAATATTTCCACCAACTTTTAACAAACGATAAAAATCGTTAACGCTTGAACAGAAATTTAAAACGAAGGAATCTCGTACATTCAACGACGATTCAAATGTATATATATTTTTAATATTTTTAATAATCGAAATGGTTGGAAAGAGACACGTTCCTGACTCGGAAATACATATAGGGTCAACGACGGTTAAGAATCTGTTCGCTTAGCTAAGAGAGAGAAAAAGACAGAATATTGACGTGTATATTCTTTACTTTATGGTCGAGCCTTTCTCTTTGGATATACGGTCGATTAATCGACAACCAATGTAACCGTGAACTTTCGCGTGAAGTCATCATATCAAGTAGAACGGTTAGTTATTATGAACGGTTGGGGGGCAAAATCATATATAAATATGCATCTCGTCGTCGCGCATCGCCACGTGCCTCCGTATCGCGGTTAATTTCAAGCTACGTCGATTTTCCTATAGTTCATTCTATTCGTTTGCCAAAATTTGCGACTCGTGACATCTTTCCCTGTATTCATCATTTCTACTTGCTACTTTCAATAGTTGTACAGATTGTGTAAGATGCTCGGTCGTACCATAGCCTTGTAAGTCTTGTAATTTCATAGATATAGACACAAGAGAATAATAATAACAAATACGAGAGTAATAAACTTTTCCCTTTAAATTTTCAACCGTAGCTTTTCTAACCTTACCTAGAAGTTCTAGTCAAGCAATACAAATACATAAAGGCCTGTGTAGGCCTCAAATAGACCGTTTGTAATCCATTTGTTCATCGAGAGTCAACACCGAGGAAAGTTTCGAATAGGCGAACTTCAAGAAGGTGACGACTTACCCATGTGAGCGAGGTCGATGATCGGCACCTCGCAC